TGACGGTTCATCCTGTTATTTGCATATCTTGTGAGAATCTGAACAGACCAACTTCGTGGAAATGAGAAGCTCATCAACTTTGAAGACAACGCGAAAGCGCATTTCTCACAGCTAACAAAATTATCACAGAAGAAACCATTCTCGCACAACAGGACAGCAAGCCATCTATTAGTCTCGGCAATTACGGGACTTCTACAACAACGGGTAAACAACACCTGGCATTCTTCTTGGGACGGTTGAAAGTCACTTAGTCAAGGTATAGCACTTTCGTTAGGGAACTGCTGAATATGTAGTGTTGTATGGCACTTTCAACACTGTAAAACGCCGAGAGTTCACTCTGTTTACTGACCGTAAACCTCTCACCTCTAAGGCCGTCTTCAGACAAGCACGCTCCTTGAGAGTCTTGGCAACTGACCCTCATCAAGCAGTTCACTTTTGACGTACACGAAATTTTTAAGGCAAACAATGTCCTTGCAACCCTTTTGATCACATAACTTTCTTGATAGAGACGCTTGCAACCAAGATGATAAACTGGTACTTCAGGAGGATGACTCAACTTCAAAATTGGGCTGAAAACAACTTAAATTTGACACTTCAAAGTGTAAACTAGTCCATCTGAGACATGTTGCAAACTACGAATAGAACTTAGGCATTTTCCCTCTAGTTGTGTCTCAAGCTGAAAAAGATCTAATTGTTGGTACCCTATACTTCAAAGTCTTATGCTAACTGCGACAGAAATTCCTTCTGAGTAAACCCTGTACTGGTAATGGTTAGAAGCATTTTTGGTCAGTTTGAACATTTCGCCTGGTGTTCAACAGTTTCATTCGATCACATTTAGAGCATAAGAACAAAGTGTTACTTCTATCACTCAAAATGATAAGGACACTTTTGGACGCATCCAGTGGTGAACTACGAACCTTATGATGAGCGTCACAAATCACTAAACCATTAACCAGTATAGAATAGGTGTCTTAGAGGTGAGCATCCCAAACACTTCTGGACATCCTCTTGAATACCTACGTAAACTCAGTCCCAATAGAAAAATTAGGGTTAACATTGAGAAACGGAAGACACAATACAGCAGAATGGACTGTAGGTATACATTGTACTTCATAAGTGCAGTAAAATGGTGGAATCTATTGCTGGCTGAGCTAGTCCAAGAGACTTTACGGGAGTCCTTTAAAAAAACTGGGCGTATTCCTAAAGTCTAAAGACAGTGTCTCGCTATGATTAATCAATTTTTACTCTTTCAGCGGTATATACATCTAAGTTCCCACCTAGAGACAGCGGTGATCCACCGCTACAAGAAGCGCAATGCCGTTGAGCGAAAGGCTCTTCTAATCTGTTCATAACTATTTTACCAAACTGAACAGTTCCCCAGGGAATTATCTACAGACATAGGGTTATTTAGAGAATGATCAGAATTAAAATTACAATCACTAACTTCATTAATCATCAATCGGTCTATGTATCTCCTGTGAACTGACTGTCTATCTCAATCATGAATCTTTACCGGTCGACTACTCAATCCCTTAATTATAATTTCCGCAGTTGGTCGGTAGTGATTTATTTAGTGCAACTGCACTTCTGATGACTTTTTGTTTACTGCATAAGTTAGAAGTATGAGAGAGTGAAAGAGTTTGATCGAACCGTCATGGGTTATTGAATAACATGCCTTGTGATATTGACTTAACAAATTATCGGTGCATTTTTCTAGCTCTCATAGATTACTTGGACTCACTGATGTGATACCACCCTTCAAAGTTCGCGCGAAATTTTTTACTAAACCGTTAGAGTGACAATGTTGTGGATTTGCAATTATATGACGGCATCCAACCAGTAAGCCAGTTAATAAACGTTTTCTGTAAGTCAATTTTCATAGTCCTGGGGTATGAAATCCACAGTTGTCCTATTCGGAGTGCAAACTAATCTGTTGAACTGTTTTTTACGTGTATTGATTGTTACGCAAAATGATCTGTTAGTAATCTCTTCAGTTTTTTTGCGCGGAAACAGAATGGGTTAGAACATTCAGGGCTAAACAAACTATAGGCTTCTCTACCAATATCAATAATAAACTGAGCTAAATTGTTATCTTCGTTGGAGGTACGTGACAACCACGGAGAACAAAATCATTCGAAATAATCTTCGATTTCTTGTGGAGACGTGTTGATTGACAATTTTTTCAATTTACTTTAATATAAATATATATTGCGACGCCAGACGTCAATTTAAAATAATAATGCGAAATGACATTGTCCCTAAAAAGTAAATAACTTTGACAAAACACAAGCAGAGGTACCCGATAAGAATTTGTATTGTATTAGTATGATAGATTTGGACACAACATGAAATATATTATCGTATAGTAAATATATTGATTGTTCATCGTAAAAAGCTTTCTTCGACGACCAAGAAATCACAAATCAAGCGGATCTGAAAAGGTGGGGAGACTTTAGTTTGTGCTAAATCGACAGGTGGGGTTGTCCGCTTATGCCGAAACATTATCTACGCAACGTCTTCAATACGTTTGGCAAACGTTATCATCCAGGTGTTCGAGCAACTATTAAACTAATGGCGGAACAATTCTGATACCTTGATGTGAAAAAAGCGTAAACGAATGGGAAGGCGCCTATGAGGAATGGCAAGAATATGGAGTGATTAGACAAAACAAATCTCCATTAATCACTTTCGCAACTCCTGAAGCTCATTTAGACTATGTTCACTTTGATTTCACAGGACCTTACCTGATTCACATGGATACTAATGTCTCTCAACATCCGTGGACAGTTCAACACGATAAGAAACTGTGCCGCGCCTTCACGAACGATGGATAGGAAACTTTGGCTGACCTTTTGGTAGCCCTGTATCTGACTCCAACCAGATGCATAGCAGCCACCCTTTTATATAATTATTGGTTCATTTCGCATTATAGAATAACGGGATAAAATAAGTCAAATTTAAGAATGACGTTTGAATACGTATATTTCGTGAAATCGTTGACCCAGACAGACGATCAGAAAGACAAAGCAAAGCAAAAAAATGACACACAGTGGAGAAGTCAAGTGAGTCAGTTCCATTTAACCAAACATGAATCGATATTTATAGTCAAATAAAAAACAAGTTATCAGCATGAGGTTGTAGCATGGTGTCGAGTTGGGATTGACTATGAACACCGCTACAAAGGATCGCATACCAAATAAGTCAGAAGGCGAAGGTTAAACGTAACCAAATAAATCAATAAAATTCCCGAGAAGCCAAATATCAGAAGGCAGTTAATGGACCAAGTCGAGATATATTTGCTGGGAATCTCGTGGTATCGAAAGGATACCGAGATCGTGCCAGGATACAAGCTTGGTTACAGAACGTAACCGAATTCGCGCGAAGTCACAATCAAAGTGTAAGAATAAGAATGGAAGCACAAAATAGCTGTCATTAGCACAGGCAAACAAAAGCACATTAAAACAAACACTGGTACAGTTGGTTATAATAATAATTGTTTTCATTAAACCAGTCGTGTTCTCGTGATAAATGTGAGTCACTACAAGGTTTTGGAGATTATTGAGTTTTTGATTAAGATCATGAATCGATCGATGTTAGACCACCATTGAAAACCTAGAAGCGCTGGACGGCCGTTTTATTCCAATATGAGACTCCGCAGTACTGAGCATTCACGATCCCTCACACAAGATCCAAGCCCAGGAACTTCAGTCTCGCGCACGAACAGTCAACCTCTAGAGCACTGAGCCAGAATTCGACGGTGTTAATGTTACAGACGCATAATGAATAGGATAAGTATTTAATACGTCTACGATCATATGAAAATAGTCAGAGTTAATAAGAGAATATTTGGCAAAGTCAAGTGTGGTTTGAGAAGAATGAATAAATTTACCTGTCAAAAGCTAGAATAATCTGCGCGGGCTTGACATGATACCAGCACTTTACCCTTCAACTATCACTAAAGACTGTGGACGCCAGTTTGAATCTGGAATTTTTCGCTGTCTTACTACACTACCAGGTATTACATGGCCCTGTCACTCACTACATACATATGTAATACTGCACCTTAGTCATATCCTTTTAATTTCATAATAAAAAGTGATGGTCAAATGTTATATATGTTTTACGCTTGATGTGCCAGAAATCCATGAACTATGGATAAAAAAAATTTCACGCTAGCTGTCAAAACGACAAATCTGAGGTTTACTCCTGTCATCATACAAAACAAAATTTTATTTATTTTAACACACAGTTATTGGTACAAGGAGGCACCAAATACATATGCGCAACACAGATCTCATTTGATATATATGAGGGCTGTGATACTGCCGGGGTGCTCAAACCGAAGCAGATGGTTTTCTCAGGGGGCCACACCCCGAGCCTTCGACCTGAAGGTCTGATCCATAAGGCAGTGGAGCATCGTAAGGAAATGCAGTTCCATGGTAGCCGGTGACCAACGATTGGTTCATACGCCATTTGTTCCTTCAGGACACTGGAGCCCATGTGCACCATTGGTTTTGAATCCGGTTATAGCGCCGGACATTAGCTTTTCGTCCTCTCAATTTCGTGAACAACACCCCTGCCACGAGAAGGCAGTGTGTAGGACTTCCCTGGCAGAGGCTATATACGCGTGGCCATGTGAGAGCATTTTGAGAGGGAGAGCGGACTCTCCCCACTCCCGACCGTACCAGGGCATTTGGGGGTGCAATACAAAAATACCAGTCCACAGTTCATTGGTTTTGAACATTATATGAATACATAGTGTAAACTGACTTTATACTGTTTACTTTTCGAATATCTTTGTATATTTATTGAAATGTACATTACATATGAACAGGGATTACGGATCAACACAATAACAAATGATTCACTAACGAGGTCAAATACATTAAGAAAAGAAAACAGTAGTAGATGACAAAGTTTTAAATACATAGTCTAATATTGTTTATCACAGAATAATTAAGTGAGAAAATAGAACAAAAAAACAAGGAAAATTTTTGTCTTTATGGATAGAACCAATCAAGAAAATGTAGAGAAAATGTTAAGATTATAAGGATAAAAAGCATCCAAAATTGTACAGTTGCTTTAGAATTGATTGCTTCACGAAGTAATTCATTTCCCTGACGAATATATTCAGTAGCAGTTACAGATGAGTCAGCTATCTTTTCAGTTGTCTATAAGTAACAGTAAACAAAATAAAAGAATTGAAATTTCAACATCAACACTAGTTAAAATCTAGAACAATAGAACTAAGCGAACATAATGTTAAGGAATATTGTCTAAGCGATTGTGACAAGTATAAAAAGATAATAAGATATGAATATAGGTTATCAATGAAATCAGATTTAAGATACTATATCTTACATTTTTTGTGCACATTTCATTTATCTATATGGCTAAAAAGCATTTTGGCATTGTAGCTGATATCAATTTGTGAGAAAGAACTCTAATTAGTAACCTTAAATCTCAATCCCAATTCTTCACATTAATCTCTAACTCTATCATAACCTTAGTAATTAGTTGAGGTTCTCGCAATACTACTTTATTATGACTCAAAGGTTGTTTAAAAACTATAATCTCACCGATAATAACATGTCATACGTAAGAGTGATCATTAAGACTTAATTTCCTGGTCAATGCGAAAAGATTTTTCAATGTCAACTACTTTTAGCTGTTAAGGAATAGGTTTTTTGTAAACCATTTTTAAGGGGTTCCCGAAACATTCAGGAAACTACCACTTCTGGGATGTGGATTTAGGAGACATGATACCACATTCGGATCGATATAATGTTACGCTAGTCGAAAGCGTAGTATATATGTGAAATAATCTTGCATAACTATAAGCTATCTATTATGCATTAACATGAAATACAATTTGTTTACATTAGATAATACAGCAAGTGTATCCAAAACCCTTTAATAAACAGTTGAGAAAGAATTTTCCATATTTTCCATTTTAATTGTAATCGGTTAATTATTTTACTGCTTAGAGAAAATAATTTTTTTGAAGAATATTACATAAACTGATGACAGGATAGTCGCCAAGCAGAATCCAGGTTAGTTTTGTAACACAGACTGAGTGACGTAACCAACGATGCATCTAGAGGCCGGCAAGATTAACCAACAGTTGGGTCAAGATAACCTTGACTCGTGATAGTTTATCTATATGCAACTCCTCTATAATCCAGTTCTGAGTCCGGATAAGAGAGCGCAAAAGATAAGCTCCTACCTCTGCATTTCAGGTATGCAGTATATTTATCTTAAACAGTCTAAATGAAATATCAGACCGCAACATACTACAAATAAGAAATCATACTTAAATACAATTATGTCATAATCGGCAGAGAAAAGAGCGACGGGTACATAAATAATTAATGATAACTAAAGAATGATAAAAAGTATAACACTGGTTGACAGACCCTACCAAAGTTCACAATACTGGTGGAAGTATAAAAGTATCAGAAGGAAGTTCAATATTTACACAATAAAAATACAGATAGTAATAGTCCGAAAATTACAGCATTCTCAGTATTCGCTTCTTCATAAAAACCATAGTAATGCATATTCATTGAACATCAATGAGTAGAAATAAAAAATAAAGCGAATTGAAACCTGCCACATTTATGGATCGGTTCAAATTGTCATGCTAGAGGTAACCTATTTACCGATTACAGATATATATATATATATATATATATATATATATATATATATATATGTACGCTGCTTCAAACTCCACTCTAAGTGTGACGGCTAGTAAAACTACCCAGTTGACCAAACCGAAGTAGATGGAGCGTGATTTAGATCTGAAACGAAACTATGTGAAAGTTAAATGCTCTAACAAGTAATCTACAGATCCTATTCAAAAGAATGTTGTACTCATATAACTTTACCTCTAATTGTTCCATAAGATGTTCTGATAGTGTTTGGTTTAGGTGACCAATTTCGGAGATTTTTTTAGCTACTTGATGCAGTTCATCTTTCTCTTGCGTAAAATGTTGATAGAGTATTTGATTTTCAACTTCAAGTGTACGTAATTCATTTTCTGTGAAATTTTCTTCTTGTCGAGATTCATGATAGTTTAAAACATCATTAGTTTTATTAATATCCTTATTATTACCACGTCTTCTTAACTTTGTATCACTGTTGTCATATTTGTTGGAACGCTTTAAATAGGCAGTAACATTTGCACCAGAAGCGGCAACAGAACGTACACCAGTAGCAAGATTGCCTGAAAACTCGATGAGACGTTGTTGTCTCCTAATCTACGTAAGGAAATAACGAAATATTAAAGAAATTCAGGTGCAACAGAACAATGGAAGCTTGAGTGATTAGATTTTGAGCCCCAAAGATTGTGTATGAACTAGAGATAAATAACTAGATAGGGTCAAACAGAAGTGGGAGTAACAGTACATCAACTTGTAACCGACTGGCTACAATGCGAGCCTTTAACCATTTAATTGTTTTTACTTCATAAAATGCACTTTCTTACACAACTTACTAGATATGATAGTTAGCGACATTATTTGGCTATGAAAAATCGCATTATTTGCAAAAATATTAATTTATTTAAACATGCAAACGAAAAGTCGTTACTAATTTGTATGTGGAAAGACATGACACAAATAAAAATTAGTACATCAAATGTTTATAACTGCCAAAAGAGTATGAATAACATAATTTTACTTATAGAAGAAAACAATATGTCTCAACTAGTAGACCGTACAGCATAAAATGGATAAGGTCAACTATCGCTTACTATCTTAGAATGTAAAAATACGTACATATCTTAAAAGAATTTGAAATTAAATAGCCTAGCAACTTATAATACATTGTTTGCAATTTCTCCGCTGGAATCGTTTAGTGGTAACATTTTCGACCATGAAGCTTGATGATCCAAATTTGAATCTCATAAAAAACATGGGTTTTCACATGACTGCAGGTTCGCATTGATGGCGTGTATTAAATAGAACGAAACTTAGGTGCAGGGTTTCTGGAGGATTTCTTTTAAACTGCATAATACCAATCCATATTTTACTGCTATAGGAAGGTATATAAGGAGGATAGATAAACGTTAGCAATATCCCAAAGAAATTTCTTTTTCATGACTTATAAATTTCTATCTCCACGAGTCTACTTTTATCTTACTGTACTGAGGTACTCCATAAATTCAAACAATTATATCATAATCAACCAGGACGTATAATCTGATTGATTTATAATTAACAATGGACGCTTTTAATCCTTTTCATTTCAAACTGTCAGAGTTGAAACAACACTTTACATATTTTTCTTTACGAGTCAGAAAGTAGTAAAAATCTTGTGATGTCTCGTGTCATTCATTGAGATAACACACCTTATCTGTTTGAATGTTTTAAAAAGAGACAAATATGTGACAGTTTGGTGTAGCATTACAATAATTTGAATTATTTTATATTTGCTCATAATTAAATATGAACTTTTACCCATTTACAACGTGTACATGTCACTATTGATTCGTAAAGATTGCACATTTTCCAGCTTTATATGTGCATGTCGGAACTCTATGGAACACATAGTAGCAACTGTTAGATTTCACAATATCTCTTTGATAAAGAGTATAATGTAAGACAATGATATCAAAATGATGAATACGACATTCGTAGAAACAACTTCTTTGAGAGATGAGATCTAGCCGACTCCATGTCTCTAAAATAATTCAGTGTCTAATCCTAAACATTTGCCTTGAAATTACAACATTTAATAAGTTTTTTGAAACTTAATTATGGCTAAAGGTGAATGAGTCCTAATACCATCAAATATTTATCAGACAACATTCTCATCATTTTATATGACAAAAGTCACCATATCAAACATACAAGATACATCAATACAAACATCTATTACATTTTCTAACACTTCAAATTATTTAGAACTGTTCAGAACGACTGTTAGGTGTTTGGAAGCAGCCAAAAAATAATATGGGATTTATGTTGACTTGAAGTTACCGGTAAGGCGTATATGGGATGTTGAAGGGTTGAATGTTTATCGTGAGATTCCAATCTGATACGACATCTAAGAATACGGCCTGATATCAAAGTACTAAAGGATTGAAGAGTGAGTAGCCTACAAACTAATTTCCTGAGATTCCCTACACGGTCTTATCATATTTATTTTGTCCCCATTTTTTAATGAAGGTATGGCATTTTAAAGAGTTAAAGACTGGTTCTTTTAGGGTTATATATATATTCATTAAAATACTCTACTTTCCATATTTTATCGCGCGGCGGATTATCGTTAAAGTGCATAGATACTTCAGTACATCCAGTTCGCATAGGTCTAGTCTCGTATTAGAAGAACTCGATTGTTCCTAATTGAGAAATACCGAACCCAAACATAATTCACAATAGAACTTGGGCAACAAAATCACCACACTGTCGGGACATTTAGCCAATTGATCACCATCTATACTTGATTGACAGGATTAAATTGGTGCTAAGGATCAAACCACGGGATAAAGGATGCAATTCAGCAATCGGCTGGTAAAACAATATTCAGAAATTCTGTATATTATCTTCTGTGTAGTATGAAATTATACACCTAAGTATACAGTTTTGACTAACGAAGAAAACAGTTAAACCTGCAGAATGACAAATTACTTAAATCGAGGCACTTTAAAACACAACAACTGCAAATTGTAGCCCAGTAGAATGAAAACGTCAATGATAGATAAGATAGAATTCGGTATAAATACGGAACAGTTTAAAGGTACATAGAGACAGCCAGTTAAAAGTAAAGCGACCACTAGTGTAGCGAGCTAATTTAAGACTTGTAGAATGACTAAGAAGCTGACCTTTTAAATTATGTAAGCCATGATAATGTTGCCCAAAAAGACAATAAAAGCAATCAAACCATTTATACCACAGAACTTATCAACGCCTAAAACGTTCACCTGAGCTATAAATACTCTCTATCAAACGGTTCAACTTGTTATAATTCATATCAGTAAAACAAAGAAGGAAGTTGAGTAAGTGAAAAGAGTTGAAGTAAGAATGATAGTGAAAAATTGAACATACATATACTCAACAAATAGTCAAATCGATATATTGGTAAAAAAAAACTCACTTCACTTTCACGAATCTTTTTCAAAGAATCCAATTCTTCACTTAGTAGTTTATGGATTGTTAAACGATGTGATATAAGTTGATTTTTATGATTATTATTAATATTCGAATCATCCTGAATTGAAGTTTTGCTTTGATTAATATCTTTTGTAGTATGAATTAGATCTTTTAATTGTGCTAACAATAAAGTACATTGTTCAATCAAAACAGTGACATTTTCAGTTAATTCAGCGTGTAAACGTTGTTTAGTTGAATTACCTAATGTACCAGCTGTTAGTTGGTGAATACGTTTTAAATAATTTGATAAAACTTTAAGACTTGAATGAAGACTTTCAGCACGTGTCTGAAAAGAAAATTCATAACCAGTAGGTGAAGTTTTCTCTCTCCTCTTCTCTTCAAAAGTGGGTGATAATTCTGGAATTGTTGGTCTTATAGATGAAACGAGTGATGTAAATAATGGAGAAATATCACGGGACATTATGATGGTGAGGATTGATCATTGATCATAAGTTGATATCTAAGCAAATCAAAATGGAATGTATAAAAATTTATTTTTAAATAAGACTAAACTGATGCTATAATCAAACAGGTATTATCCAATCTATGAACGGTCAAATAAAGATGTGGCATCAATCTACAAGTTTATTGATTGTTGGTAGATGCAGACTACATTTTTGAGGTCTACTGGCTTGTTGCGACTAACAGCTTATGTTGGGTGAAATGACTACGAATCAGTTAAAATGCATATGTTCTTTGTATTTCTCTAGAACCCACAACGAGATAAAATCGTTGTGGTAGATCCCAGAGTATTAGTGGCACCTTCTCATTGCTTTTTTAAAACAATGTTCTCATTGTTTAATCTTCATCCTTATCACTACTATTACACTGTTTCGATTTCTTTGATAATCATCCGGTTAATTTCATCGCACCTTGCTTATATAGGTACATCAAAATTAGGTTACGTTGGCCTTCACTTTAATTATGACGAACTGAAGAATTATTTAGTTATTTAACGAAATTAATATAGACGGAACAGATGATATGTAGTTCATAATTTAATTACGGTGGTCTAAATGTTTAGACAATCTTTAATAAATGTGCCTAAAAATCTAGTATTAACAAACTCAGAAGTATCTTCATGTCTCTCTTATTCCATTCGTGAAGTATGTTTACAACTAGTTTCCGATTATTAACTATTAGTCGATCAAACTCGATCTAACTCAGAGGGAAAAAAAACTCCACCTAAATCAAAAAGCTACTCACAGTGTAGAATGATATACCATACTTTATCTGACAAAATTGTAAAGTTTGTTGGCAATACAATAGAAAAAAATACTTTAACACATCAGGCAATTAATTATAAATCAAAATTTCACAAGGGGACAAATATAAGCACGAATTTTATTTATGTTACAATAAGATAGTTAACATTGAATTGGAAAAAAAGGAATAAATCTAGAATACAGGTTTACAAATCTCTTTTTACAATAAGTGGTTATACTTTTCCAATGACATGACTAGTTCCAGCAACAACACCAGTATCATCAGCACCAACAATATTGACATCATTACTATTATTTGTAGCTTGTAGATGACTCTCACTGGCAGCATAATCAACAACCATAGTTTCGTCTGGTTCTGGTCGTTCCATTAAATAAACACGACATGTAGAATAATTTTCGAAAAGCTATGAGAATTAAACAAAACAGGGACTTATCAAAGAAAAGGAACTACTAGTGGAGGAAAAGTATTATTGATTAAAAAATTGATATAATCACAACTGTTACAGAATCTAGCAGATATAGATGTTTGTTTGTTCTAGTTGATATGCCATCATATCACGATTAGAAAAAGTTGAAGAGATGAAAAACAAAGGAATTGGATTAAGCTGTGTAAATAAGTACAAACTAATTAGTTGGGGTCTACTCGATTATTGCAAACAAATGTTATATATGTTGAATGACATGGCTCAAAATCAGTCAGAATAGTGCATAAACATTTACTTTTTGTCATAAAATACTTATACTTCTTGTTTTCTAAACTCATTCTATTTTTGAGTCATACTATCCATTGACTAATTTTCTATATCACTAATAATACTTGTAATTGAGAACATGAACCGATCAATTTTGGACCAACATTGAAGACCTGGAAGCACTGGACTGCTGTTTCGTCAAACTGTAGGACTCCTTAGCAGTACGCATCCACGACAGTTAGTAATTCTACTACTCTGGCATTCGTTTTGATAATTTCCACTTAACTGTGCCGATGTGGTATGGGAATTATAACAGACGAAAATTTGTGCCAGGCACTACGTAACTTATGACTGAGAAAAGGAGTACGAATATTAGTAGTATCAATGATGGTAAGAATTATTAGATGTAGGGAGTATGATTCAAAAAGAAGGAGGGATGTGATTGGTCAAATTAAATGTTTTTCATCCAACAAACTGATTGGTTGTAATATATATACAGTTGAAAGTCCTATGATTACTTCGATTCATGAAAACCGTCACCATAAGTCTGTTTAAAGAGTTGATTGTAACTTGGGTCAAAACTTACTAGTTAGATTGTTTTACAACACACTTGTAAATTATATGACAGTATCATGTATGTCTTAGTTGTATGGATTAATGAATAAACAGCTAAAGTTCCTGTAATCTGATATTTCATTGCCCATAAGTAATCTTTAATGAATTTTTAGCTGTTCATCCATATGAGAGCCAATAAATCTTCATTTATACCAATTTTTCACTTCGCGTTATAGGGATTGCAGTGATACCCGCTCTCAAGTATATAAGCAGTAGGACCGCGGATTTATCACAACCGACACCCACATAACAGAAGTCACTCCAAACATAACAAAAAGATCTTGATATTGTTTGACCATGAAACGTTTTCTGACTAATACCAGAGATCAGGTATCGAATAAACTTAGTACATGTGATGTCAAGTCATTTAGATTAATAACTAAACTAAAACATGATCGATATAATCAGATCAGCAATTACAGGATTACACTGAAAGATGAGTCAGTTGTGGATACCTCATCTCAGTGGGAGGTCTCTTTCAGCCCGTATAGTTCAATGATGACATCGACTGTGAGATTGAGAGGCGGGTTCTAATCTCACAGAAGGTACAAGCTCATTGGAAATTGAGGATACGCCTTGTTGACAAGTGACAGCTAGTATGGAACCCAGGTCGAGCAAGGTGTCCTGCCAACTACCTGATATCAAAAGAATAATGCATGCGACGTCGATTCACCTAAACTAGTGACCAAACTTCAATCCGGTCAACAGAATTTCATCAGAACTAAAGAAATAGACAAATATAAAATGCATCACTACTTATCGATCAGTCAGTTTCGATGAGTATATTGATGGCATGAAGATTCACAGTTCGAATATTTTCAATAACCATGAAATCAGTTACAATCTACTGGATAATTGAAAAGAAAAAGTACGAATCTTACAACAAAAACAATTGAACGATCACCATTAGTTGTTAATTTAATAGCGTGCCACGGTAATGCTTCAATATTTCCGCGTGTAATGAATTCAGATAGATTTTTTCTTGGTCTGAAAATGAACATTAAAGAATATTGAGCAAAACAAAACAATGTAGCTAGTATAGTAGTTATGAATATCAGTTTAACATAACTACACTAAGATGGGAAAGTTAGACAAAATTGAAATATTTGCAACTAATTTACTGTTTCACAGTTCTTGTGGTGTGTACGATACTTGGAATCTATTGATCTGGAATTCGACAGTCTGTATTTAAATCTAGATCCCGTGATCGAGTCTTTTTCCCCAAATCGAGCAGAAAAGCTGGATCGATTGAAAAATTGGTAGCAATAAATGTTGGAAATGGATAGGACATACGTTGAGGAAATCATAAAACTACGTCATGAGATAAGCGCTAACTTTGAATCTTGAAGGAGAACGGAAAAATAGAAGACCAAGGAACATATTGCGTCGGGAATCAGAAGCAGGCATCAAAAGAATGGAGAGCAAATGGAGGCAACTGGAAAGGATTGTCCAGGACAAAGCTCGTTGTAGAATCCTAGTGGGTGGCCTATGCTCTTTCACGAGGGGTAACAGACACAAATAAGTATTTTTCTTTAAATCCTTGCTTGTTGACTAATAAATTCTTTCTGTTAACAGAATATTAAAAGGGGCTATTCCATCTTCACATCCCCATTCGCCTGTAAATTTAATCACCGAGTGTACCTCATTAAATTGCCGAAGAACCTCTAAATGTAGTGTATTATATTTACAAGTGATGAATATGTCATCCATATGTTGATGGTAAAATGTGAACTTTTGAATAAGCTGTTTATGTGAATCATTCTATGGTTCATTAAAAAAAAATTAGTTGAAATAAGGACTAGAAGTAAATCCACAGTGATTCCATCCACTATCTATAGATTTCGCTGTTCAATACGAAATTCACATTTGTTGTAGATTTTAGTACTAAATCTTGTATTCACTGTTGCTAGGTCCCACATAAGATAACGTTTTAGTAAATAAACTAGGAAATGATCCATATAAATAGTTTACTTAAAAGTTCACATTTTACTGTCGATATGTGGATGTCATATTCATCATTCGTAAAGATAATACATCGCACAGTTTAATCCACGGATCGATCTAAGTTAGACCACCATTGAAAACCTGGAAGCTGAGAAGTGTCATACAAGAACGAAACATGCGCCTAGTGCTTCCAGGTTTTAAATGGTGGTCTAGCTTAGATCGACTCGTGAAAATACTACAACCTCCATAAATCCCCATACTGATAATACATTACAACTAGAGATTCTTCAACAATTTAGTGAAGTACACTCGGCCATTAAGTTCACAAGTGAAGCACAACGTGAAAGTAGAATAGCCTTTTAGGAAGAACTTATGGATCAACAAGCAGAAATTTAATCAAAATACTTGGACAGGGCATTACACAGATTTTCTTACCTTTTTATTTTTATAGTACAAGAAAAACTTGATCAAAACACTTAGTAATCTAATAAGAGCCATATGATCGACTGATACAGTTGAACAGGAACTAAATACCTTGAATTATGCTCTTGTATAAAACGGATATCGTGGGGAGTCTATAGAGAAATATATGATCAAAACATTTTGTGTAGTAGAAGTATGAACCACTCCATACACTATGTAGTCATCCATTAAACATCTGATCTGACTTGTAATGAAATCAATTACCTGTATGTAGGTTTCAAAGAATGATAATTAACTTACAAATTAGTGTGAATTGATTCATTGACAACTGAAGCAATTGTATTCGTTTGTTTTAATGATTCTCCATTAAAATTTTCAACACTATTCAATACATCACGAATCGGTACCATAACAAGCCAACTATGCATTAAATCACTGCTCGTTGATGTTAACGACGATAATTCACGATTCAACAAAGTTTCATCAATTTTTATACTATTCACATTTATTTTAGGTGATGATCGAATCGATGAAACTTTATTGTGCTTTGAACGACGAGATACAATTAGTAG